CACCCGCCAGGGCACCAGTTCACATAGCCAGAGTGGATTTTTCAAGCAGCACAGCCAGGACTCACCTGGGCTCGGGTACGAACATTCGCGCCAGGGTTCCCAAGACAATGGCTTCTACGGCTACGATGAGGAGAGCAGGCGCTCTGTTGAGGATGGAGATAGCGATGTTGATTTCATGGATAAAGTCAAAGAAGGCCACCAAGTGGCAACCGGTGCTGCTGCTAACCCCCAATTTATCCACCCGATGGCCGTCGAATCCGCAGTCGCTTCCTTGATGGATCCATCTGTCCTTGAATCTCAAATCTCATCCACGAACCGCTCGCAAACTGATCTGGGTCAACGATCAGGCAGCCGAAGCCCCGAAAAGTCAGGAAGCGAAGTCTACCGTGGAAGCCCCTTGAAGCAACGCCAGGATGCTTTCAATGCCGATGAGACCTCGTTCCCTCGGCGCATGGGTGCCACATCGCCCCCTCAGAGCGTCACCCAGTCCTTTGAGGACATGGATGAGTCTGCTGTGATGGACAGCAACGTCCCGCGTGGAATGGAGAGTCCTCTTGCGGATGCTGAAAGCCAAGAATCGGAGTCTGAAATCAACACCAACCCGTCCATCATACAGGGCCCCATCGGTGGTGTGGCTCAGGCAGATCACTGGGGATATGATTCAAGGTCTCCGCCAGCGGATCACTATTACGATAAACAGATCGGTGGATCTAAGGGTCTCAATGCCGATCAGCAGACAGGACTTGATGCGGAATACTACCAGACTGCCCAGAATATCTTTGGTGGCGATGACTACTCTGCCCACTCTGGCGACAACCAACCCCGGCAATTGTTTGGTACCCCTCCTGGTGCCAAGGATGAAGGCTATGTTTCGGCTGCCAACCCCATGTCTCCCAGCATCGGGACCCCGAAGCAAGCTAGCCGAGGTCTTGCGGGCGTGGATGCCGCTGGAATGGGTAGCTTTGACAGTCCTGCTGGGGCAGATGATCCTTTTGCGTCTGGTCATGAACGCCATTTCAGTGGCTACTCTCACGGAATTGGCTCGCCACTCTACGACAGTGCCACCGGCCGAGGTATCGAAAGAATTCAGTCTCAGGATATTGTGGCTCTCATGGATCATTTGACTGTTCGGGATGCCCAGCGGAATGCCAGAGATACCGAGATCCTGGTTACTTTGGTTCGAAGTGCTGCTGAGATGCGCACCTCCTTCGAGCAGATGAAGAGATTCATCGCCGACCAAGATGATCTCATCATGGACACTAGCGATAGGGGACATGAGCGAACTCACAAGGCGCTTGGTGGTCCTCGGCCATTGCCCCCCAGCGCTTCTCGGAATCGGCAGCTGAACACGGCTGACGAGGAAGACAAGCGAAAGAGCATCTTCAAGCGTGCACTGAAGGGATTGAGTCTCAAGTCGGGCAGTGATTTAACTAAGATTGAGGGCATGCTCGAGCAGCTGCTTGGTGAGGTTGAGGCCCTGCGATCTGGACAAGACGGCTTGAGCCCTCACGCTGGCACCAGAATGGGAAGCATGGAGCCAAGTGGGTACGACGATGTCGGTCCAAATGGAGTACCTGTCGAGACGAGCCGCTCTCCCTATGGATCTAGCTCTTCTCGTCCAGCCAATGGACAACGTAGAGATTCGGATCAGCGAGTCAGCACCGTCCACGAAGTTGACGAAGACCTTGAGCTTGACGAGGGTGACCAGTTCATGACCTCGCATCTCCCTGTCCGTGAGCGGCCTGGTCACGAGCGGTCAGGCTCATTGCCGCTTGATACGCCTCCACGCAAGCCAGTGGCCACATCAGCTCGCAGCACCGAGACAACCCCCAAGGCCCGCAAACACAAGTCCAGCAGCTCTTCCATTTTCCCGAAGATCTCCCGCTGGTCTAAGTCCACGGCCACCTCCATGGGCGATGGCATTCGCAACAGCATCCAGCCTTCCCGCAAAGAACGTCCAACCTCGGACGAGTCTCGGTCTGGATCCGATCTCGCACCTCAAGGCCCCTACAAAGGCGACTATTATGATCCCCAGGGGGATGACAGAATCCGATCCACTTCCACCCTGGATGACGAGCACGATGAGAACAGACCCCCTTCGCCATTAGTGCCTTCCCAGGTGTCCGAGGTGCCCAAGTACCGCGGCCACCGCGGTAGCCTCGAGCTGCAGCACCCCCAGCCTCGACAAGGCCCAACCGGACGCTACCAGTCCCGCCTCGAAACCGAGGCCCAGGTCTACGGAGGCCCAATTTCTCCCACTGGCTCAGAACAATGGGAATCCAACCCCAGCCTCCCCGCGGTCAACCCTCCCCAAAACCGCAACAGCGGTGTCAGCGGTACCACGCGTCTGTCCCCGATCTCCGACGCAGGCTACTCGGAGACCAGCTCCCGCGCAAACCGTACACCGGGCCCACCCCGTCCTCCTAAAGTCAAGGACGCAGGCCCTCTCATTCCCGAGCGTCCACCCAAAGTGGCGGATGACGAAGAACCTGCTTACAGCGGCGACCGCGTCGTCTCCAGAGTATGTATTCTAAAAGGTCCCTTCCTACCCTTTCAATTGATTGAATGCTAACCTTCACCCTCTCCAGAGCTCTGCCATCCGCTCTCCCCCCACACGCAAGCCAACTGGCCCGCGTCCCCTCGCCTCTGCCGGCTCCTACAGCCCAGGCAACGTCAAGCGAACCCGCTACCGAGGCAGTCCCGCGCAAATCGACTATGAAGATGAGCAATATTGAGACTTGCACCGTGATACCCCTGGGTTGATGTTTTCAATTTCCGTTTCCCTCTAGCGCTTTTGCCTTTTCTCCTTACGACAGTTATGACCGTTCACTGGGACTTCGGTTCCAGTTCCTTTATCCCCAAACCTATGAGCAATGTGTGTGTGTGTGTGTGTGTGTGTTTAAATGTCTACAATATTTCCTGCCTTTCATGTTTATGTCAATGGTCATGGGATGAGCGGGAAGTTATGTCTTCTCTTCGCGTCCCTAGCTCCTTTTACGCTAAGTTTCTCTGCTTATTTTTTTATGGTCTTGCTTTCGGGCATGCGGCTGCAGTTGCTCTCGTGCATCTAGTGAGCGTGAGCGTGCTGGAGTTTAAGCCTGTTGCTTGTAGCTTTTGTGTTGTGGTGTAGATAGTGGTGCAGAGGGAGACATAATTTATTCCAATTTCAAGGTGTGGAATGATCTTTTGGGTCTGAGTGTTACTTTTTGTAGATGTCAAGGAGAGATAGAATCTCGCTGGATTGAGTTCATACTGCCTTAATGTACTAGTAGGTAGTTCGTAATTGTAAAGGGACACAAGTTCAACAACATGAGGCACTGAGGCCCTTGACACCTCATGCCTTCCCATGCATCTGGATCCCTTTCTTGCGTTGAAGTGTATACGCTGATCATCCTGATATTCCCCATTTTCCGCGAAGGCGGAGAATGGACGGGATCTGCTCTTTTCAGAGGGATATGCGGAAGTCTTCCATTGCCGTTTCGAATGTCTAGGGTCCGTGAACTAGTAGACAGAAGAGGAAATAATCATAATCCCCACTCGACAGCCGACAGCCGACGATGTTGAGGGGAAGAAGAGAATGAGCTTCTGTTGAAGAGGAGCCTTGGGATAGGATCGAAGGGCGATTCCGGATACCCAGTTTCGATTTCGGGGCTCTCGAGAGGCCCGCTGCGTTCAGACGAGTTTCTCTCGCCGATGATCAATGCGACTCAGAGGCAATGTCTTCGATGGAGTCTTCCATTCAGCACGTGGGCATATTGTGGGTGTTGATATGTTGATCGGTGTGTCCGAATTGGTGCAAGCAGACCATTCCCGAAGGATTGATCGTGATCGTGATCGGGCGAGCTCGTCTATAGGGGAGGGATTTATGTAAACCCATCATCTAGCTCGATTTCATTTTGTCCTTGATTCGGGATTGTTGGCCCTCGATGAAAGATGTGGTGGAGGATGAAGGGAGGATGGCATGAAAGATTTGCCGTAGAGGGCGGCTTTTCCGCCAGTGTGAATATGAATTGATTCTAGCGATATTGATGGTAACGGATGCTTCAATAAGAGTTGATTGCCAGCCGCTGAGGCATATTCTGTGTGGTTTGGTTTATATGATATGAAGAGGATAAATAGAGAGAAGAGAAGGAAGAGATTGTAGAGAACATTTGAAGTACTTACAATTGAAGAAGCTACAATTGTAGTAGGGAAGGAACCTAGGGAACTGAAGTTTCCTTAGCTTCAAGTAAAAGCGAATTAAATTTGTAGGATATCGAGAAGCAAAGAACAAGTGAATAAAATCTAAAACCAAAGGCCAGTAACAAACCATGAACTCATTATAGCTGCATTCACATCTCATGTTCGACTGCAGAACAGTAGGCGTGGCGGACGTTTGAGTTTCGAGGTCTTGTAGCCTCTAGACATCTACGGTTTGATGTCTGCTCAAATCCCCATTTTAGGGGAGAGATTCTATACGCCCCCTAAACCACTATCTACACAACTTTTTAAACTACTTCGGCTAAGGCGCTGCTTGAGCATCTCTGGCTAGCTGTGTAAATTACTATGATATCTCCTAAATGACACAACTAGGGTCCTAACGTAAATTTGAAGGGAATTAGATCATGGCCGTCAGCAGTGATTCGTCCTGCATCTCGACAGAAACTCCTGCATGGTTAGAAAGATGTGTCAAGGTGGCGAGGTGACTACCTAGGTACCTCACGCTGTGATTCAGGGTGCGATCGCTTCCCGGGGCAGGCGTGGACGCCGTTCCTACAAAAGTAATCAATGCCGCGAAAATTAATAGTCCCATTCAATGACAAGAATAATTGACGTGATCTTTGGTAATGAATGAATGTAGAACTCCAAGTACAACGCTGAATCTGATGCCATGTCCCAAAAACCAAACAAGAAAGACCCAATTGGAAGAATTCAATCAAACGACAACCACCGTCGCCATGGGTATATCATCTCCAAAAACGGGACATACCAATGAAAATGCCCCATACCAAAATAAAGCCCTAATAATCCGAGAAAGGCCGAACAGAGGTAGTCCCCCTCCCTCTAACAGCATAAGCAGTAGCAAGCGAGCTATAATCTAACGCATCACTAACAGGGAACTTCCCCGGATAACTCTCGATCGAGTAATACTTGCGCGCACGATTCATCTGCACCGTCTCAGAATCGACCGTCGCATCAATAGTCGCACCAAACGGGACCGGCTGCTGCACCTGGATCCCGCTCGCCGGTCCAGGGTCACTGAAGTGATCTGCGACACGCGCAGACGCAGACATGGGCACGGGGAAAGGCACGTTCTCGATGAAGCGAGGCTGCGAAGTGCGCACTAGGATTGGAACTAGCTCTGGCTCCGCTCGTTCCTCGTCCGAAGGTGAGCCGTCCAGATTCCGTGGGATGATGGTCAATGGCTGACGGAAGATGGCTTTTGCCGAGTTAGCGAGCTTTGAGATGCTGCCTCGCGTACTGAAGCGGATTTTGCGCAGGGTTTCGTGGATGGGGGAGTTTTCTCGGGGATGTTCTGTGCACGGGGGTGATGTGGGACTTCCTTGCTCTGATGAGGAATCTGAGTCTTGATGCCCCTGCTGTGGCCATGTTGAGCTGGCTAGCAAGTTGGGTGTGGGCCGAGGGGTGGTGCGAATGTAGTTGTTATCTTGGTTCAGGAGACCATTCCCTGATGAAATATGCCACTGGCGCTCTGTTGCTGTTGCAGAACTATAAGCTGAGAGCGGAACGGCGCCGAGAAGAGTGTTGATAATTCTTGTTTCTGTGCGATCGATGGCTGTGTTGAAGGGTGGAAACTCGCGCCGTGTGTTCCAGAATGGTTGCGCGAGGTAGGAGATTGCGTATAGAAGTTGCAACCAGGAGAGCAAACGGATAAGGAATATTGTTTTTGAGAGGGATATAGGGAATGTTCCCGTTGCGAAATGTTTTTGATCCATGGTGTATGAGGAGAGAGGAGAGGGGAGATATCGAGGTTCATCTTGTTTAAGAAGGAAAGAAGCTTTAAAGAGGGAAAGAACGTTGGAAAGTCCAAATATCAAAAGAATAAACTCGGTTCTTATCTCGGAACCCAAGGTTTCCAACCTTGGGAACCTTGGAACGTTATAGATCGTTCCCGCGGCTCCACTTGACTAACTCCACCTCTTCAACCTCCTCTCTCTAATGTCCATACACGCTGCTCGTTCCATCATGTCTGCTATTGCCTGCAAACATCTTCGTCCGCGAAAGTTCGCACCTCTCGGTTCTCCCGAGACATCAACTGCCCCTCTCTTGAAGGGGATTGTGTTTGATGTGGATGGAACTTTGTGGTGAGTCATTTTTCTTTTCTGATACTGTATAAGAGTGTATGCTGCATTTCCTTTTCTCTATTGAATTCTGGCTTGTTGTATGCACCCTGGAGAATTGATATATACATATTGGTGTTGTATGGAAGTGGGCAGGAAAGGTTGATCAAGGCATCAATTTGGGATTCAAGCAAAAACATATTTTTCTATTCGGGGAAGTATACCTTGAGTCGGGCCCAGATGTCTCTGCGGATAGCCTGCGAGTTTCTTGGATTGATTCGACATTTGCTTGATGATCTGTTCCAGGTTACAGGATGGTTAGTGCGGCTTGGAACCTGGGGCGGTAGTTGGAGTGGGGGCCTTTATGCTTTTCTAGTTTGATCTTATATGCGAGCCTTTCTGTCTTGCTCTTCTATTGTCTAGCATGTTTATTGATTCTAATGATACCATGCATTCTAACGTGTTATCAAATCAACTTTGTATTGACCGAACCTCGCTAACCTTGACCAGTTTACCACAGCATCACATGTTCAGCGAAATGAGGTACAATCTAAGCATAATGAGCTATCCAACATCCAACCCATGGAAGCCCGTCTAACCAATCTCCCACTATAGAGAAGCACTAGGAATCGATCGCTCGATCGACATTCTCCAGCATATCCGCGAACTCCCCGCCGGCGAACAAGCTACAGCCGTATCCAAAGTGCAAGCTGTAGAGCGCCGAGCCATGGCCGACCAGCAGCCACAGCCTGGCCTGGTTCGCCTAATGGATTATCTTGAATCCCGGGGCTTGCGACGGGCACTCTGCACCCGGAACTTCGAGTATGTTATACAAGCAATTAACACAACCAGGACATAACCATATTCGTCCCGGCTATATAATACACACAGTGCTAACATCTCTCAGAGCACCAGTCCAAAACCTGATTGACAACCATCTCGACGGTCATATCTTCCTACCGATCATCACACGGGACACACCCAATCTCCTGCCCAAGCCTGATCCCGCGGGCATTCTGCATATTGCCAGCGAATGGGGTCTTGCTAATGGTGAGAATTTGATCATGGTTGGTGATAGCATCGATGATATGACGGCTGGACATATGGCCGGTGCCGCGACGGTGTTGCTTTTGAATGAGCTGAATGTGCATTTGGAGGAACATCCGCATACGGATCTTTGCATTAAGCAACTGGATGATCTGATCGATATTCTGGAGGGAGGATTTGTCGGGACTAGAGAGAATGATGAGCATGGCGCGTGATGGGATTCTGGTGCTGTGTCATCTCATGAGATATAGGTCGAGGCTGCCGGTTAATGGATATGCTAGACAATTCAGTCTGCCTGGGTACCATGGGCATGCACTGCAATGTGAGAAATATACAGCTGGAAGTGAGAGATGTTAGAATGAAGTGTCATTTAATCGTACATACATGCTGAGTCGAGACTGAGCGGAATGGTCGACACTGTGCTATGTAAATGGCGGTTTTCGCCGAGATCTTCTGCTCAATTCTCATCGGGTGGTGAGCCCTTCTTACCACCCGCGGCCTCTGCCACCGCCACGTGGTCCTCGTGAGAATCCTCCTCCTCGTTGTGGTCCACGGTTTCGGCCACCGCCACCGCCTCGTGGTGGAGGGCCCCGCGGAAGGGGCGGATTGGGTGAGCGCTGGCGGTTGTTGTTTCCAGAGAAGGTTGCACGACCTCGGGAAGGCCCTCTGGATGGTGCATCGCCACGTTTAGCTCCGACTCCACTTGCAAATTTGATGCTACCGCGGATATTGCCACGAGGAGCAGGGGAGGGGCGTCCTCGGCCTCGGGATACGCGAGACATCATGTCATCGTCGTCTGGGGAGGGAGGTCGAGACCATTCCCTGGCTCTTCCGCGGGATTGACCTCGGCTTGGTGGGCGGCTCTCTCGAGCGGGGATGACGGTATTGAGGTTCGTGATCATGTCTGGGTCGATACCCTTCAGAGTAAATGACGAGGTAGTTGCTACACGCAAGTTGACAGCTGGGCAGTCTGCTACAAGATGTTTCGCACTGCAACAATTTGCACAGCAGATTGATACTATGACTTGTTCGGAGTGGAGATCTCTGACTGGGAACTTCCATAGACAATCGCATTCGGATTCCAGATGCTCATTGCCACAGTAGTCACAGGGCACTTCGTATGCGAAATTGCGTAGCTTTGCGCTGCATTGCGGCTCGTCGTGGCCACGTTCGCGGCATCTTTGGCATCGTCGCCAGTCGGGGCAAGTACTGCTTTGATGCTGGTTCCAGGCACCGCAGTGTTCACACTTTGTAGCTATGGTTAGGAAGGCGAAATGCAGTAACTGGATAGAAGATATAACATACCTCTTTTGTTGGGCAGACGTCGGCCAGATGGCCCTCACTTTGACATTCGAGGCAAGAGATAGGAAGCTTGAGGTCCAGATCATGGATGCTGCGATCGAAGTACACGTACTTGGCCAGGACCTCGAGGTCCGTCTGGCTTAGGTCCACCAAAGCAGTAGGCGCATTGGGATATTTGCTTGAGAAAAGCTGGAATGCCTCCTCTTTCGACCCGGGTCCGGATTGTGTAGCACCACCTTTCATAATTGATTCTCCAGTCTTGGAAGCATGCTGATGAGCCAGAGTCGCAGGGTCGTAGTCATTGGCACCATCCATTCCCATCTTGTCTCCTATGTTCAGCAGGATAGAGTCATCGGCCTCAGAACCAAGAGAATCTGAATCATCTGTGTCACTCTTAGAGTCAATTTCTCCATCTTCCAGTTCGTCATCACTTTCGGGTTGGTCGTTTGCTGTGGGCTTTTCTTTGCCATTGGCCGATGCGACAGATTCACTGCGACTGCGCCAATATTTATCATTCACCGCTTCAAATTGAGTAGGCTTCTCGTTTGTTGGCGCTGATCGTTTCCCCAGTGTTGTGCGAACTGCAGCCTTCCGACCCTGATTCCAGCTAATTGCGGGCGCGGTGTTGCCTGCGTGCGGGTTTGCGGTAGTAGTTGGGTCCGCATCGGAATCGGAATCTTCACTTGATGCTGAACTAGATCCAGAGCTAGATGTACTGTCTTGATCCACTGGCAAGGGGGTAGCGCTGAATGCAACACCTTTTGGAACAAAGTCAGTTAGATCTGAGTCCTTTTTATTTCTGTTGCGGCGTTGTCGCTTGGCTGGGCGGGTGCTGTCGTGCGATGCGGAGCGCGAGGTGGAACGCGGATTCGATCGAGTGCGCGGTGCGCCCACCAGGGCTGTGCGTGAATCAGCCTCTTCGTCTGAGGAATTTGCCATTATTAATTGGAGAAGTTCGAGTATAAGGATAGGACAGATCAAGAGTGAGACTCCGGAAGGATCAACAGTAGAATTTGGGTCCCCAGAAAATTTCACGGTAGACGATATCGACCACTCGCGCAATTCTGAAGTATACGCCACCGCTATACGAGATACGAGGCGATAAGGCGTAGAACCCCCTGAATCCTGATTTGAGTGCTGATTTGATTTTGAATATATTTTTTTGGTAATATCGAGAGATATATCTACAGGTGGTTTTTTTTTGAAAGTGTTTTGTCCAAGCAAATCAATACAGAGAGGGCTAGTAGACCTTGTTGGCTTGTACCTACATCGATGTATACCAGCCCTGGAGCGCAACAGACAATCTATAAGCCGAGACATGCATTTGGAGCTACATATTGGAAGGATGAAAGTGTAAAAGACAAAAGGATACAATATCGACAATTCTAAGATCAAGCCAATAGGTCAGTCAATCAATATCAACATGATCTAGACGTGATCTAGACAGCAGACAATAACAGTAAGCCTTTGACCGCCGGGCCATACTCAAAATCAATAGATTTATCTAGCCACCAATGAGAGATTGGATTATGATCGAAGATGCTAACTCCAAAGAGCCATTGAAATCTCTTCAGACTGGGCGTTGTCTTTGGCGTAAGATCTACCCGTCGAATATAGAAGAAAATCGAGACGATCGACGCCAAGAGTGGGGTTGATGCCGTCTTCGTAGTCCCAAGTTCCAATTGCCGAGGCCATGCTATTATGGATCTTATACTCCGTAGACCATGAGGCAGAATATCTGGTTTTAAAGCGCTATTGGCTATCTACGAACCGTGGTGAAGGCCCACAGACCGCGGTCATCCAATGTGTTTTCCTATATATACCAAGTTAGGGCACTGTCGTTTGCCAAATTAACCACGAGTTGATCACACAAACTTGATCCAGCAGTGTTGGAAAACTACCTAGCCAGCACAAGCTCTTAGTGGACGAACCGGAGACCCATCTATGTATTCTTGTTTCCTGATGGCAGGCAAGGCTAGGTATGAAAGCGCAACAATTTTCCAGTGATCAGCCAATGCTCCCGTCATTAACTGCCACAGTTTATACCAGCTGAGTACTATCAACGATTTCTGCCTATTGATTCTGATCAACAATTTGCCCCGGGGGTGGATTAGCACCATCAATACGAACGGGAAGACCCGGTGGCTTGGGCTGAAGAAGACCGTGCCCCAGACACGGCAGACTATTGCATCTGCAGCATTTTCATTTAAAGTATGTCCTTGTCCAATTGCTGCTATAATGGTGTTAGAAACTTCTCACCATGCAATCGCATACGATCCTGGGGCTTGAGGATAGTTGGCCCTTTATGCGGCCTTGTCATGTTTTTTCCGGTAGTCTTTTCAGATATTCTTTTCGGATATCATCCTTAAATGCCTTTTTGGGTGTCTTTTAAATGGGTACAAAGGGCAAAAGGCATAAGCCGTATAGAGGATCTTTCTAGGTATAACTGGGGATATACTAATAATGGCCTAATTTTACTGTCCCGGTATGGACATAATATCATGGGACACTTCAATCAGGCCACACAATCAAGTAATAGAAAAGAGTCATTTTAGAGTCATAGCTGGGCAAAGGTGGCCAACTCCATATTTTAGCCTATTCTTAGGCATCCATGGATGTCCCGGACATATTCGCCCCATAAAAGGAAAATGTCAACGTTAAGGAATATATAGAGAAATGCTCATAAAACTAGGCAGAGAAAGGATATCTATTCACTGGGAAGCTTCCCCTTTACTGAATCCTTAATATAAAGTACATGTAGTTCTAGTCCTTTCGGGCTAGATTCCGCACATGCATACGTTTGTACATCAATGTAAGGCCAATTATGCATTTGGTTCTAGTTAGGCCAATCTAAAAGGCAGGAAATAGATTAAGGAAAAATTAATCTAATTATAGACGGTCTAACTAATGGAAAAGAAAAAAATAGATAGTCTAAGGGAGAAAAAAAGACATGAATCAGAGAGCTCTTCCGCACCCCGTGACCGCAAGCCGATCCAACCGGCAAACTCCAGTCTGGGCCGTGCCACCTCATCCCCACGCTCCTTTTCATTCTTCTCTCATTCTCTCCATCCAAATTATTCTTTCTTCTTTTGGATCCAACCGTCAAGCTGGCGTCCGACAATTCAAAGGTGTCTTCCCTGTTGACCCCCCGTGGCATCTCCTTCCCTCCGGATGTTGACACAGGGCCGCAGCGGTTATCTCCAAGCATGACCTCAAAACAAGGCCGCCGGAGGCGATCTAGCAGTCTTATCTACCAGGAACCAGCCGAATCTATTGAGCATACCAGTGATCAGGCCGCTTTGCCAAATCTGAATGCAAACTGGGTGAATGCCAAGGGTGAGTGACAAAAAAAGCTGATCCTGGAGACCACATATCTCCAGATCCAGAAACCAAGGACTAACATGGAATTTTGTTTTGATTGTAGGTGCCTGGACCATCCATTTCGTCTGTATCGCCGCTCTCAAGATTTTCTACGACATCATCCCCGGCGTCTCGCAGGAAACTTCGTGGACCCTCACCAATATCAGCTACATGTTTGGATCCTTCCTCATGTTCCACTGGGTGCGGGGCATCCCCTTCGAATTTAACGCCGGTGCCTACGACAATCTCAACATGTGGGAGCAGATTGACAACGGCGACCAATACACACCTGCTAAGAAGTTCTTGCTCTGCGTGCCTATCGTGCTCTTCCTCCTCAGCACTCACTACACCCATTTCGACCTGACCCACTTCACCATCAACTTCCTAGCCACATTGGGAGTGGTCATTCCCAAGCTGCCTTTCGTATGTTATGTCTGCTCGGAACCAGACAAAGCTCAATTTGCTGACGTTTTTGATTACAGTCGCATCGGTTGCGAATAGGTCTCTTCTCCGATATACCCGAGGAGTCATAGTGGCTCCCATTTAATCTTTCCTTTTTTTCTCGAATTGCTATCCATGTTGGCGTATCCACGGCCTCCTTGATTTCCCGAGCTTTCTCGCCGTCCCCTCCTTTTCTCCATAAAAGGCCTTTGCATTGCGAAATTGGTTGGCGGGGATCTGAACTGTTCTTGGCCACTGCGCATCCTGTTTCTCTTTTCCTCGTCAGCAAATATGAAGACGCAGAAGTCACTGCGAACCAGTCCAAATTCCCATTCTTTCGGTCTGCGCTAGGCAGCTTATCCTTGTCTAGATTTCCAAGTATCCGAGCCCTGCATTTTTTTTACCCTACAAACTTCTATTCTTTTGGGCTCACTGCTCTCTCTTTGAGAACTTGGGCTGTGTGAGGATGGAATGGTCCTTATCTAAATTCAAGGCCTGCAGTACATTCGATACATTTGGTCAAGGGATGTTGGACAATGTGCCTGTTAGAATATACATATCGTCTCATTGAGGGTCTGGATCTCGAAAAGAGAGTGCTGTGGAAATAAAAGCCCAGGGGTCATCTTACTACGAAGGTGCATAGCGGCCAGAGGTCGGATTCAATTAAAACCAGGATTTCTGCCTGAATATGCCTTTTTATGCCTGGTTTTAAGCTGGTAGAAAATTAGAATACCTGAATTACTATGACAGAGACCTTCCAAGGTTGTTAAGTAGGCAAAGTATCTAGGTTCAGCATCACCTTGAGAAATAGGCAACCAAAATGAAGCTTATCATTTAACATAAAACTGTAGATCACTAGATTTTAGATGGCTTACGGCGTTAAAGCTATTATTCTCACCATACGGAGTAAAATTCTCCATATTTACCTAATGCTAGGCGTTCAAGTCATTCCGACCGTGCAAATCATAGTATTTACCGTGGAGGAGAGCTAGAATAGTTTATATGCAGTGTTTTAACAGAGGGGATTAAGAATCACGCCTTTATAGGGCTCAACATCAATTCGTTGAGGCATGAATATAGGATTTGCGCGGTAGGAATAGGTGGATATGAGGTTTTGTATAGTGGGAATAGCTTCAATTATGGGGAGTATAGAGCGGTGTTTAAAGCGGTCTAGAATCAGGCATATTCAAGCATTAATCCTGCAAAATCAGGCATCTAGGCTTTGGCATGTCAATTAAACTTTGCGCTAAGCTTAATTTAGCTAGATATTAATCGATATCTTGTAGACAATACGCGCAGATTGAACTCTTGCCCAGCCGAAAATCTCATCGAAATAAGAAACGGCGTTTTAATAATGGTATGTTTCCGCGATTCCTAACCGATTACTAAGTAATCCTATAGACTCCACGTAAAGCAAAGCGAATCACCCTGCTAGTCAGGCAACCCTGCTGGAGTACCTAACCAATATTCAAGAGAATATGGGATCTTTTTGGGAACCGGTTCGAACCTGGATACGCACCCATGGTGACTTAAAAAAAAAAGTTAGGTACACATGGTGAGCTCTTTGACGGATACAATGAAAACTTCGACCGACCCCCTATTGATCTATCGCGTTAGGGTCATGGGAGGAGCACAAGTTATGCTCCAATTCGATGTCGACTCCAAGACCAGCTCTGGAGCAGCCTAGTGATGATGAAATCGTCACACAGTTGAAATCGGCATACAGCTGAAGAACCAAGATCTATGACTTTGAAGTCTACAAAAGCGCGTTTCATACTCGGGCTCCAACTATAAATACCACCCCAGCATTTCTTCCTCCTCTTCTTCTTCTTTCCTCTCCACAATACACAAACAGCTTTGGTAAGTATATGCTCTGCTTTATATTGCCCCATACTACTATCACCTTGTCTTTCTACACTGGATTACCCCCTATACCCTTCAATTGCATGCCAGCGCCTCTGATACCAGCAAAGTGAGCACCCCCTGCACCTCTCACCCTTATTGTACAGGCAGTTTACATATGTACCTTACTTTGATCTTCACCGATTTTCACTTACCTTTCATTTGCTCTCACTTGCATATCAATTGCTGCTTCAGCAGTATCTCACTTGTTGCCCGTTGATTGCTGCATATCTTTTACCCCAAGCCCTAAGCTGCAAGAAACCCTTCTTATACTTGCCATCTCACTGAGACCAGGTATCTTGCATGTCATTCATCCTTCATTTGCTGCTCTTGATTATTCTGATATTCTTGCTTGCTGCTGCACATTTGTTTTTCCCTGCTCTGCCTTGATTTCCATCTCTCTTCCCTTGAAATCTTTCCCTTGCACCATCCTTCATCTTTCGCCACGTTCTTACCCGCATTGAATATTCTATCACCGCATTCTATCCTGCATCTTCATTGCATCACCATCTCCATTACCATTGCATTATCATTCCCATTGGCATCGCTCTTGGCTGTGGGTTAGGGTACTTGCTTTATCGCTTTGTCTGCCCTACATTGCCCATTGCTCTGCTGTATTGGTCCGTCTTCACATTACTATCTCCATACACCTCAACATTCTAATGTTTCATCATTATTGACGCATAATTATAGAAATACGAAGCGAAACTCGATTTTTTCTTTTTTTCAAAAAAAGAAACCTGAAGGACAAGACCGCGCTTGTCCAGTTTGAGATTTTGTTCTTCCCTTGACTTTTTGTTGTTCCTCGACCCTTTTCTACAAACCTCACTCATTGAGGTTCACGAGTCCTTGTTGCCGATTTACCTACATTCTTTAAACGCGCAAAGTTCGCGTTCTCACTTCATCACATTTACTTTTTTCGATTACCTTTCCTCTCTAGCCTACATTCGTTAAAATGTCCGGACGTTCTTATGGTGATCTGCCCATTCGAGGCGGCCGTGGTGGTGGCGACCGTGGTGGCTCCTGGGGCCGCGGCGATGGAGGTTCGAGTAGCCGTGGCAGTGACCGCGGCTACAGCGGAGACCGAGGCCGTGGCAGCGACCGTGGAGGTGGTCGTGGTGGACGTGGTGGGTCCGAAGGGCCCTCCAGGTAAGTTTATTTGTTTTACATCGGGAGAAGATTACATCTAACAGACACATAGAATGTTGACAGACCCGGTTGAAGCCCCCAGCTCCCGTGTTCAGGACTTTGAGGACCAGTACGCTGCAGAGTCAGCAAAGGCTCGACCAGTCTCCAACACTTTGGCTCGGCGTCCTGGCTACGGCACCCAAGGTCGTTCGATCGTGCTCCGTGCCAACTTCTTCCCACTTGAGTTTAAACCAGGCGTTGTATTCCACTCTTATCGACTCAAGATCAAGCCTGAGGCCAAAAAAGGACAACAAAGGTTCATTATTGAGAGTATGCTCCGCAAGTATCCTTTCTTCAGAAAGATCGGCGTTGCTACTGATGGGACCACTGAGATTGTCACGACCGAGCTACTCCCCGAAGATCGTCCGCCGTTCATTTGTTCCATGAGCAATGGAAATGGGCATGGAAGTGGGCATGGAAGTGGGAGTTCGAAGAACAATACCGGCCCTTGGAATACAACTTTGATCCTTGAGCGCTCTTATTCACCAGCTGACATGATTGCGGCTGCTCGGGACGTCAACCGCCGAGAGGAGCTTCAGTATGAAGCTCCCAGCCTCCGAGTACTGAATATCCTCATGAGTGCTTATGCCTTCAAAGATCCTGGAGTCTGCATCATCGGCAAGGGACGAAACAAATTCTTTTGGATGGACCGCCGAAAGCAGTCGATGGACATGAGGATTAGCGCTGAAGCTGCTCGTGGTTTCTTCTCAAGTGTCCGAGTTTGTGCTGGACGAATCATGCTCAATTTGAATGTCAGTCACGGTGCATTCTACACTCCAGGTCCGTTGAACAAGCTGCTTGAGGAATACATGGCCAATAACAAAAAGGACGGGGATGTTTTCAACCGGTGGGTGAGGGGCTTGAAAGTCTATGCCACACATCTAGACCCTCGAGAGAACGGAGCTGGTCTGCAGGAAATACCTATCAAATCAATCCTTGGAATTGCGACTCCTCAGGATGGACGCGGACAGGCCCACCCCCCAGAGGTTCCGCGTTTGGGATCTTCTGCATCAAGCGTGATGTTCTGGTGGGAAAGGGAAAATCGCAAAAGTTACGTTACCGTTACTGCGTACTTCCTTGAAAGTATGTTTGGTGCCTGTCGGTTTATATTTGAGGTGCATTGTGCTAACAAGAAATAACAGAGTACAATATCAAACTCGTACATCACGATAATATGCCGGTCGTGAACGTTGGAACCCGCGAGAATCCAATTTACCTTCCTATGGAAGTTTGCGAAATCCTCCCCGGGCAACCCTACAAGCCCGATCCTACCACGATCCAACGACAGAACATGATCAAGTTCAGTTGCCGGCGGCCTCCTCAGAACTATGACTCTATTATGACTGAGGGGTTGGAAATCATGGGAATCTCTGGAGGCCATACCAAGACGGTGGGTATCAAGCCCAGCAACCAAATGGTCACTGTACCAGCACGGATTTTGAGTCCCCCAAATCTGCTTTATGGCGGCAAGAAGACCACTAGCCCTCGAAACGGCTCGTGGAATTTGGTCGGCACCAAATTCGCCCAGGGCGCCAAGATCGGCAAATGGACCTGTTTATGGATTCGGAAGCCCGGTGGTAAAGAAACATTCAATAATTTTGATTCCGAGATGGACGCTTTTTACAGGAAATTGCGTGATCATGGCCTGTCGCTTCCGTCGCCCGCTAAGCCGTATATTTCGGTTCTTCTCGGTGATGATGAGAAAGAAAATCGAAATATCATCAGGGGAACTTTCAAAAGGTTCCAGGGGCTGTTCCCATTCGTGGTTGTCTTGCTTCCTACAACGGAAGGTAAGGTCTTCGATTTCGTCAAGTATGCCGGAGATATCAAGACTGGAGTCCTTACGCACTGCATGCAAGCCACCAAGTTCGCAGGTGCCAATGAGCAGTACCTGAGCAACAATGCCATGAAAGTCAATCTCAAAATGGGAGGATGCAATCAACTCCTGCAGCCGACGAATGCACGCTTTATTGGTGCCGCGAAGAACACCATGGTTGTCGGCTTGGATGTCACTCATCCTTCGAGTGTAGACCCGGAAACCTTCCCCAGTATTGCTGCAATCGTTGCCTCTGTTGATCATCTCATGGGACAATGGCCTGGTGAGGTTCGAGCCCAAACACGCCGTCAAGAGCACATTGAATTCCTCAAGGAGATGACGCTTACCCGCCTGAAATTGTGGAAGGATAACAACAATGGCAATCTCCCCCAAAACATTCTTGTATACCGCGACGGCGTTAGCGATGGTCAATTCCCCATGGTCCTTGAAGAGGAACTTCCAAAAATTCAAGAGGCCGCCAAAGCGGTATACCGTGGATCAATGCCCAATATCACTGTCATTGTCTGCGGAAAACGTCACAATGTACGCTTCTACCCTACTAACTCCAAAGATCAAGACAGAACATCCAACCCACTCAACGGATGTGTCGTCGACCGCGGAGTTACCCGGCCCATCTACTGGGACTTCTATCTGCAGGCCCAGGCTCCGCTTCAGGGTTCTGCTCGACCAGCTCACTACGTTGTGATCCACGATGAGATCTTCGCCAACTCAAAGGTCAATACGGACCGCAAGCCAGCTGATGTGGTGCAAGAACTTACCCACAGCATTTGTTACATGATGGGCCGGGCTACTCGCTCGATCAGTTACTGCACGCCTGCCTTCCTGGCTGATAGATTTTGTGATCGTGCCCGGAAGTATCTGTTGGCCCACTACCATGACAATAACAGCTCACCCTTAAAGTCGGAAAACATTCAAAGCAGTGCCCTGTCTATGGCGAGCGCATGCCAGAACAGCATGGTCTACATCTAATTGGACTACTGTCATTTTTTATTTCCTTGTTGATATTTGACAACTTTGCCGATGTTTTATGGAGCTTGATACCCTCTTGCTATGCTCCATTGTTCTTTGAAATTGTCTTTGAGCTTTGATTGCAACGACTTTGAGATTGGTCATGAGGCGAAAGCCATGAAAAACCACAAAACGACCAAAAAAAGGGTTTAATGTCCTTGCTTTTCTTACAAGCTTGAGATGTGCCTATGCTGCAGCAAGTGTGGAAAATTGAAAAACACAAAAAAAAAAGGAGTATGGGAGATTTATGTGCATGGAAATGGCATGCATTTGCTTATTTGATTTTATTGTCCATGTCTTTGCTTGGATGACACTTGCACTGCAGCATGGAAAATACAAAAACCAAAAAGGGGATGATATGTTAAAGTATAAAAATGAAAACATTAAAAAAAAAAACCTCTGCCTGTGTAGCCACTAGACTCGCTGGTAGTATAGTTGTAACCGAGAAGATCTTAGTGGATGGTAATATTGAGCGGAAAATTCTGGATACTGAAGAAGCATAGTATACAAGTGCCAGTCTATATGGCTCTGATTATTTTGAGCCCTCGAGACAGCTTGGGCCTGCTATGACCTATGAGGTTGAACACAGTGCACGATAGCCTCCATCCTCGTACAACAAGGAGCGCGGGGGAAGTTCAGAGACTCCTCGACATGGGATAGCCTCGATACCATCTATAACCGGGGTTCTTTGCAAGATTTTCCTTCTGATGAATTGACCAATGGTGCAGGGCGAGGGCCTTCTCTACCCTCTGGCATATATCCCTGGAAGTCAAGCTGATATAGCACTGCGGAGAAATGACCAAGATAAGCCAATATCACTGTTCACCGCTTGGAACTAGGAGACCAGGCTTCGGGTTGCCACTCTTCGCCTGGGTTGGCCTTGTTCGCCTTGGTCCATGGGTTCTCCTCCTTTCGTGTCTTCGATTCTGCGGGTGCGGGTTTGGCCTTCGGGGCTAGTTCGGGGGATACGGTTGAAGGCGGTGATTGTGCAGGAGCAACTTTGGTGGGCTGATTCAAATTCGCCTCATCGATTTGGGTTGATGGTGCTTGATTATGGGCCTTGGGTTTATCGAGGAAGGAGGCCTTGCTGGCCCAGCGTTCATCGGCGAGTCGAGCAAGTTGTTTGATTTGCGCCTGTCGCACAAGATCCTGCTGCTGTTCCTGGATGCTCGGGGGATGTTGTCGAACATGTCGTAGCCATTGGTGCCATTGCGCTGTGTTGAAATAAAATGTTAGATATGATTCAATAGTCTCATTCCCCTTTGCCCGAAAGAGCCGCATGTAGTCCAAGCCCGAGTATCTCCCCTGCGATGGAACTTACGTGTCACTTGAACATCACTGAAATGAGTTTTGGGATCGAATCGAACAATGCGCCGGAAACGAGCTGCATTCATGACATCTTTGAACTCCCAGAAGGTATTTCCGGCAAGATCCTCACCTAAGACACGGTTAGCGGTACTGAGACATAGGAAAAAGAAAAAGCAGATACTGACCAACCAAGAAGGACTTTCGCCAGGGCAGGCGAAGTTTCTTCCATTTAAACCATAAGCTGTTAACCATTGTTGAGTGTAAAGAATAGAAATGAGGCAAAAAAAAGATTGCGGACTATCAGGAACGTCATCGGAGATAAACACAGCCCCGGGGATTCCATTCCTCTCTCCATATCTCTCGGCTTTTCTCTCCCCTTTTTCTTCTAATTTCTACTTTACTAGAAACCTTCTACACTTCTAGTAGTTGAAGCATTTTCTTCATCTTGTCATTTCCAATTGTATCACGGAACGCCCTCCTCTGCTACCCAACACCCGCCACCTTTAGGGCTGATCAGGCACCTGCAAAGGGATACATACCACAGGTGGCAACAACAACTACACTTTCACACACACTCTGATCGAACATCCAACACTCATCATGGCTTCCGTGACTTCGTTGGACAAAGATTTGCGCAATATGCGACTATCCCGCTATACCCCGCAGGCAGCCGCGGAGGTGCGCGACTGGATTGAGGAAGTGCTGCATGAGAGACTGGCATCGCCAGACTTGCTCGAAGGCCTGAAAGATGGCGTCGCTCTTTGCAAGTAAGTTGTATCTGTGGTTTTTAAAGCACAATCAATCAGTCTGAACCCGCTGGCTAACTCCTTTATCTACAAGGCTGGTAAATCTTGTTGTATCACCAGGCGTGAAGTATAAGCAATTGTCCGCGCCATTTGTACAGATGGAGAATATTTCGCATTTCTTGCGCGCATGCCAATTGCCACCGCTCAACCTTCCCCCGCACGATGTCTTTCTGACAGTCGATCTCTACGAAGCAAAGGATCCGGCGCAGGTTCTCCAGTGTCTGGCAGCATTTAGTCGACGGGCCAATGCCCTTGCGCCCAACAAGTTCCCCCGAACCGTTGGTCCACAGAGCAAGCGCAATGTAGTCAGCCCCAATGCGACGGGTTCCTCGAGTACCGGGGCATACACACCCCGATCAGCCCGCTCCTCCAGCAACGTCGGGGATGGGAGGGCCCCCGCCCTTCCCTCTCGAACAGGCAGCCCCCCGAAACCTTCCGGGGCATACAGTACTTGGGCCAAGAAGGGGGATGAGCAGGCTACTACACCGGCTTGGAATATTCACCAATATGGCTACATTGGGGGAGCTAGCCAAGGGAATCAAGGAATTGCATTTGGTGCTCGCCGACAGATAACCACCCCTGGACCTGCTGTACCCAGCCTTGCAGAGAAAGAGAAGCGCAGACGTGAAGAAGATGAACGGATCCGTCAACAAAACGCAGAGAAGGAAGAGGCAGAACGGGAACTCCAGCGAGAAGTTGCAGAAGTGGAGGCTCGCGCTAAGGTAGAAGAGGAGCGCCGATGGGAAGAAGAGACTGCTCATATAAGGGAACAAGAACGTCTCAGGGTGGAAGCAGAAAAGAAGCGCTGGGACGATGAAAAGCGTCAATGGGAAGCGGAAGAGCAGCGACGTATGGCGGAAGAAAAGGAAGCCGAGGAGCGGTTTGAGCAGGAGCGACAAAAGAGACGAAGCCTGAATGATAACCGTCTCAATGGTCAGTTCCTCAGCCAATACCAGGCCTCCAGCTCCCAGGTTAGTGATGTTGTCGGAACCAAGCCGGACGAGGAAACAGCCCAAAGCCGCCGCATCAAAGAGCTCGAGCGCGAGCTACAGCTGGCAAAGGACCGGGAGCGCCAATACGAGACCGGACGCCAGGAAGTCCAGCCTGGAAAGACTGGCGATCAGCCTCAATCTCGCAGTCAAAGTCGCCCTCGTCCCGTGCCCCCCAAGCCCAGCTACGATCTCTCTTCCCTCGAACAAGAACGACGACTCCTCCGTACGGAGTGGCAGAATACGCAGGATATGCCCGCTACTTCCGAGGCAGAGGAACCCGAACCCGTCGAGGAGCGAGCACCGCCCCATCCCCCTCGTCCTCTCCCAGTACCAAAGCCATCATCTTTCTCTACAACGCCGGCGCTCCCTCCCAGAGACCTACCCGCATCGCCCCGGCCCCTCCCAGACCCAGTAGCCTACAGTGCCGGCCGAGGCCGCGAAACCCGCGTGGACAATTTCCTCTCTTCGAACCCAGCACCCGCATCCCCAGCCCCAGCCACCCACCGATTCCAAGACTACACCACGACCTCCGAGGTCGATGCCGAGAACAGCCGCCGCGAAGCGTCACAGCAGAAGACCAAGGCCGGCGGCTGGGCGTCCAAGTCTCTCCTGGAACGAGAAATGGAGCGCGAACGCGCGCGCCAGGAGGAGTGGGAAGAGAACCAGAAACAGACGGTGGCTGCGGCCGGGCGCGGCGGCCAAGATGGTACGCAAGGCTCAGGACCGGGCCAGTCTTGGGATGTTCATCAGTATGGCTATATGGGAGGTGATAATCAGAACCGTGGCGGTGTTGGCCTTGGTGTTGGTGGTGCTAGACGCCAGATTATTGGGCCGCGGACGCCGCGGTAAGCTGTTGACTTGTGTTGACAACTCCTGGGCCTGCGTATACAACTTAGGGTTCTTGTTTCTTTGGTCCCTTGCCCCCTTCTATTTTCTTACCATTATTTCTTCCTACTTCTTCTTTTGAGCTCCATTCCCCCTAACTCTGTGGGCGTTGAAGCAGAAGACACATTATCATATCTCTGCGTTGGTGGATTATTCTATTATTTGCGTCCTAAGATTCCCGCTCCAGCTTACTTTGTTTTTCACGCGATGTGGTTGTAGATAGCAGCTGTTGTACTCAAGATCCTATAATAAACACATTCCAAATACCAAGTTTTATAGGATGATCACACATCCGTAGTATAGTCCTTTCACGGTAAATGAAAAGAATTGGCATTTAATATGTGGATAGCACAGGTACTCCTTGGTCTTTAAGTATATATCACAATCATTATATTCAAACCGAAGAAAAGCAAAGGGCATTCAAACGCTCCATAAACACCCATAGACGCCTAAAATATGATCATTAAGTATCATTACCAGCATAAACATCATTACCACAGCACCGGTCTTCGCTGACCCCACAGAAAAGCTTCATGGTAGGATATGCTCGACCATAAACCTCATCCTGAACCCACTCTCCTGCAAATAAGTCCATTCAATCGAGTCCCGGTCACGACTAGCCTGCTCCCGACGCGTAATCCCAGACTGAACAGCTTTAGCCAGAGACGGGGTCACAGAGAGCATATTGTTCTTATGCAGGAGTGTCATCAGCGCCTCGAGCAGAAGGGAGACCTTGGCATTGTTCCCAACGTTCGGGGTAGCCGCTCCGTAGGGGAGGAAGCATTTCTCCAGCTTGGCCTGGGTAAGGTAGTTGTTGTCGGAGGCTGGTGCGGAGCTCTCGCGGAAGACGAAGAGGAGGAGTTCGCAGAGAGTAGAGTGCGCTTCGGGGAGGAGGTGCGGGAGGTTGGAGGGGCTGATGAAGTGTTGGAATAGCGGGAGGGAAAGGTCGCGGATATTCTCGACGAACATGTCGTAGAGGTTGTCTAGGGGCAGGAAATCCCGGGGTAGTCTTTCCGAGACGCTGGAGAGGATGCCGAGGAGTTGTTGGCGGAGGGCGAGGGAGGTGTAGCCGCCTAGCGGGGATATATTGCTTTCGTGGGAGGGTGCTTGATTTCCTTTGGCCAGCTTGATGGGGTCTGTGGCTTCGTCCATTGTGTTTCGTGTTCCTCGTCGGGTGCGCTTGCTACGTCGTGGCTTGCTGACCTTCGATCCCTTGGCTGGAGGTGATACCGAGGTTGAGCTTTGGTCAGCTTCGAAATCCTCGTCTGGATTGTCCAGGTAGTCGCCATAGTCATCTTTGTCGAGGTTGATATCACCTGCCCTCTTCTTGGTATCATGGGAGTCTTGTTCGGGCACAGGAATTTTCAGTTCATCATTGAATACCTCCTTGAACTCGCCGAGGTTTGATTTGCCATTAGCAAAGATTGCCCGCATAATTCTGCGGTTCCGTCCAGCTGTGGTGTTCGAGGTGATGTAACGGAAGATCAGACTTTCTCGAAAGATTGCAAGATCAATATCCACAACTACCTCGACCTTAGGTCTGCCCCTGCGTATTTCTTTCTTAACAGGTTCAGCGCCTGGCGCGGGCTCCCCCTCCGACTTCCCTGACACTTCCGGCAAAACCGAGGTATCCCTTTGATTTTGTTTTGCCTCTAGGTATTTTTTTTCGTGCTCTTTCCAGTCATCTTCGAGTACGTTGCACATAAACTGGAGCCATATCTGCCAGCGCTCCCACCGCGCGGGGTGAAGTACCGAACAATTAAATGCCCATCCGACGGTGTGCCAGAAGTCCTCTGCGCAGTGCCACAGCGAAGAAGCTTGGTTGAATTTCGTATTCAGAGGCCTGGTATCCGGATTGTCGTGCTCAATGAGCATCGGACTTTCCCCGCGCCGCCTACCCTGTCGCGAAGATGCAAGCTGGGTGAAGTTGAAAGCGAGGTCAAACTTTGCATCCACGGGGCCAACAAGGGAATTCGTCAGTCGAAGAAATCGCAAAGCTGCGTTGGGTGCTTCTTTTTCGTACTCCGACTCGGCGCGCGTTGTCGTTCTTGGGTGCACGAGCATCGTAGCTGCGACGGCCAGATGCTGCGGTAGTGGAATCACTGCTTTTGTTGATGAGATCGTGCCCGATGCAAGGACATTGAAAAGAAGGCTATAAGCTTGCGGCCCTATTTGAGAAAGCGGAGATTAACAGTGTCTCTTTGAGGATCTCCCGCACGCGTCGAAGTACGGGGAAAGGGAACTTACATAGTGAGTCTTCGAGGAAGATTTCTGTCTGTCGAGCCAACTCCCATTGAAGTGGTACGGGTGACCGATATGGTACCTCGTCCATGGTCTCTATAGGCATGGCTAGGGGATTTTTGAAAAGCCAGCTGAAAATATACATTCTGGGCTGGCAACGCGCTTATCGATAAGGACTCGCGGTGGATGGCGTATGACGCGTCACAAGAGGTATATGTCCGGCAGAACAGTAGGCAGTTGGATGATATATGTGACATTATTCAAAAACCTAAGAAAGCCATCCAAATAGGTTTTAGAGAATTAGGATAATACCGTAGTCAATAGACTAAGAGTGGCCTTGATAAACAATTCTATAAAAAGATTGAACTTCTTTGTTTCAAGGGCGGAAAAAAAGGCGGTGGAAAGTATACAAATAATGAACTTGGCACTTATATCTGGCTCTAAGGACCAGGGCCACATATTCACGAGGAATTGACGACCTCGGAAGGTCATTGCATGATAAGTTCCGTGGTCGGCTTAATTGAAGTACTAAAGCGATTGTTTCGGTGAAAGTCCGAAATCTTGATCCAGGTTAGATACATAGCCCTCCAGATTTCAATAACATAGAAAAAAGTAAGGGGGTATCTATAAACAGATACTAGAATAAGAGAGAAAAGAGATGCTACATTCTTGGTTGATAGCTGTTATGGTAGTAGTATATATATCTATATTCTAAGTGTTGATTTGTATGACCTTATATTTAGACCTATTTGTTAATATCGCTATATGCGGCCCACAGGATAGCTGGCAAAGCATCTATAAGGATGCTATTCGAATCGTTAATCTTGTCACTGATAGAGGTGTATTGTATGAGGATGTGAGAACGAGTTTTATTGTGCAAAGTCGCCCGGAAAATCAATTACAAGGTGGATTTGTGTACCATCGACCTGCGCGAGATACAAAGCCGGATGAGAAATACAGAATGGACGGCCGAGATCAGCATGATTTTTGTTCTTGTTCTCAACCCTTGCCTGTTAGGACTTTGTATATGGGATTTGGGAATGGGATTTGGTATGAAGGGCTCACTATGGACGGCTCAGTACAAGGAACTCAACATAAGAAAGAAAGTTAGCTATGAAAAGTCACAATAGTAATGATAATAGCAGGATCGAAAAAAGAAGAGATGAAGCTCGCCAGCTTGATTAAAAAAAAGACGGATAATTCAAAATCCATGGAGGACCAAAACGAAAAAAAAGCAGGAGCTACAGCGGAAGTTGGATAGTCACAAAATATTATAGATTAGATATCCACAGAAGAGTCTAGGTATTAGAATAGTCTAACATTTTGGGGGTGCAAGCACCCAGGCCCAAGCCTGAAAACAAACCCGTAAACTCCGAAAGCAAACCAGATATTCCCAATGATATAACCCTGAAACACCAGCTGAAAAAAGCAGCAACAAAAAAGCAGGAAAAGCAAAACCAAATTAGAAACATGCTTAACAGAGAACAGCTTCGAGAGCTTCAACGTCACCACCAGCGCTGCGCACAGCCCTCAATGCGGCTTCGCTCAGCTTGCGACGTCTATCGCGGGCTTCTTGCTCGCGGCGAGCCTTGGTCTTGGAGCTGCCGGAGGGAGCAACTCCGGTCAGGATCTTCTTGCTGTCGTGGGCGGTAAAGTTGACAAACGATACGCTGACAGACTTGTTTGCGCCTCGGGGTGAGGAGCCAGATGCCTTGGCAGGCTTGGGGGCACTCGTGCTCTGGCCGGAGAGCTTGCGGCTATGAGTGCGGCGTTGGGTAGGCTTGGAAATGGATCCATAGCGGGTGTCAATGGGCGATGTTTCGGCCTTGGGGGAGAGAGATGGTGAGGAGACGTTGTGTACTTGGGAGGTGGTGAAGGAGGTGTCATATTTTTGGGGGGTGGCGGGGAGCAGATTAGATGAGAATGAGTGGTCCGCCGACATGTCATAGGAGGGGTTGAATTGGATCATTAGTCCTCCTTGCATCATGTCATTTTGGCTTCCAACGCTTTGCATCGAGCGCACAGGTGTGGGAGATGTGAGGTAAGCGGCCTGTTGTTGAGCGACCCGAGAAGGCATGGGAGACCACCATTGGGAATCTTGGCCTTGGAGGTCTGGGGTGAAGGAGAGAGATGAGGCATGAAGAGAGTCTGATTGCCAAGAGGAGATAGAATGGGGGTCGGATGAGTGAGATGAGGAGAAAATATCATCTGCAGAAGAAGGGCTGGAGTTGGTCAAGGCAGAAGAGCTTGGGTGGGCCATGTAGTGCTGTTGTTGCCGTGGTGCCATTGCGATATTCGGCGATGGCATTGAAACCGAGGGAGACTGGTGATATAGTCTTGCGTCGTACTGGGGAGGCATCTCTGCCGAGTCTCTGGGTTGGTTCATGATTTGTTCGGTGGGCATGTTTTCATGCTGAATGAGGACATCCGATGGAGGGGGCGACAGCGGCAGACGATCTTCTGAATTGTGAAGGTTGAAGTTCTGAATTCGCTGGGCCCAAACCTCGGGGTATGCCATTCTTCCGTTGGATAGGTTGGAAGAGCGCATTAGGCTGGGAGAGAAAGTTTGCTTGCGCAAATTGGAGCGACGCTCATTCGGGTTGCGATGGCGGATAGATTTGGGAGTGATGAGAGCGCTTTGGGCAGGCATCCGTCTAGGGGTCGTTGGAGGAGTAGACGGCGATGTGGACAGACGACTGGTTGCTGTAGGGCGAGAGGAAACTTCAAAGTTGTTCACGTTGACGTCTGAGATTGCAGAAGGGTGGACAGTGTCGTGGAAAGCAAAATGATCGGCAGCGGCTCCGTCATCCTGCAGGGGCCACTCATTACTCCAGGGTTGCGGTGATTGATGGCGTTTAGGAGTGGAGACAGGTGGAAGATCGCCACAGTCACTGGATAGCGAGTCAAGCGGGAAAAGCTGGTCAAAGTCGGCCAATGCCGAATCTTTTCCATCAGCGGCGCTGGTCTCCATATTGACGTATTGGTTGAACAAGTCATTGAACGAATGGTCGTAGGGTTGAGCGAACATCTTGGGATTTCCGTTTGCAGCGATAAAGTAAAACAACGGGTCGATAGTGTAGTCAGCGACTGAAGGTCCAAAGACTGGATGTGATTGGACAACCAAAGATATCTCTTTAAATAGAGCTTTGGTAGGGTTTGGGAATAGTTCGGGGTGATCGACCCGTATCTCCGAAATGCAAAGGATGCAAAAAAAGAAGTGTTTGAATGGATGTTTGAATGTTTGATAGTTTGTCAATCAAAGAAAACACTGCAGATGATGCAAAGAAAGCAAAGCAAACAAACAGATACAAGTCCTATTTGAATGGCTGCCAGGGACACCAGCCTCGGAATTTCTGGACACATTCCAAGTGCTCTAAAGATGGACAAGGAATGTGCTGTGAAGAGCCCGGTTGGCTCCTGGCCGGCTCCACCAACCTCCCAGAAGAATGATTCAAGACTCCTCAAGCCAATCATGGCCTGCAAAAATACGAATGGCTGGCCGAGCTGTCAATCTTTATCAAATCCCCAAGAGGTTCCGTTACGGATAGCCACCCACGGGAATGTAACGCTCCTTCACTAAGCCAGAAGCAGTGGAACAGTCATCAAATGAGTTGACAAAGCGGGTCTGGGGAGGACTTAGGCATGTTGACCCGATACCTTTAATTGGTGATCGGCATAACTCCTAAGAGCAAGACTGTTAGGAATTAGGAAAGGAAATGGGTCGGAACGCTCTCCGAGCCAGAATTGTCCAAGGAACCAGGACCAGCCATACAACTGAGACAGGAGGATGATTACCTGTCAAGTTCCAAGGTTGATAGTTACAGTGTAAGCGTCATGATACCTGTTATCCCATCATCAATCGCCCGAAGAAGACTCGAATTGGGTGACAGTATGATCGGCAGCACACTTGGCAACATACTTCTTTCATTTTCTTCATCATGATTAGCCAATCGATCCAATTGGAGTGGGGGTGATATTGTCCATTGGCCAATGTCCTGTTAGTAATAAACGGTCCGGAATGTGAGTTGCATTGTAGCGGCTGGGCGGAATGTCACGTCCTGAACAATGCACAGAAGAGTTGTAGGTATTCGAGAAGAACAGATTTACCAGGGAAGCCCCAGTATGTATGTGCACCCCTGATCGGAAGTTTAGAAAATCTTGAACTGCAGGAGATCGCCGTCTAGAGTGCTTATCTGGGAGTGTTTGCTTCGACCCCATGTTCTATATTTGGTCTGCATGAAGTTGATCAAGATAAGGCCATGTTTGAATGCAGCAAAGAACAAGCCTTTTCCTCGGCATCGGGTAAGGATCTGACGCTTCCTTTCCACTTTTTGAAAAATAACCCAAGTGTCATTTGATAATCACAGTGTCCTTCGATGGGGTGTTTCTTCGTATCTCGAGTGGTATCATTGACCAATTGTACTGAGGTGGTTTTTGAATCCACTAATCGTTTGTGGTGCATCGGTGGCATGTCGATGTGTGTGTTGCTCCCTTTGGCATCCTTGTCGTGTTTGGGTCGAGCTCAGGCATCACAAAACAAAGCGGTCAATCCCCAAACGCATATATATTCATGCACGACTGCAGGATTGAAACCCCTAGATTGGGAGTCATCCGGTTGATTTGAGACTAATATTAGATATTAGGTATAGCTGAAGTTTCAAGGCGCTCTGGATCAGCCTGATAGACCTGCAATCCGTCAGGCAGTTGGGTCTGTTTCTTCAAACGGAGTCTAAAGTGCTAATGCAGAGTGCAGCCAGACTGCCGACCTAAACAAAATTAAAAACAGAGATAAAAACAAAAAGGGGCATTGGAAGAGTCAAAAGCAATAAACCTGATGTGTTAGTGATGCGGCAATAGTGGGCGGCTCCGTTCAACAATAATATTTGTTGAGATGTATGCAATCAGCAAGGACTTGATAACAACACTGGAAGCCATAGGGGCCCCTAGTAAATGTGCAGACACTCAATATCATACGCCCAGTATGATCCTGAAATCCCGAGCGTGACACTAAAAAAGCAACTCTCGGCTGAGACGTACTCTATACTCCGTACTCCCGAGGCTATTCTCAAATGGTGATACTGTGTAGTCAATAGGGAACTCTCATACCTAAGTAGGAACAAGTGTGGTGTATAATTGGGTATTGGG